TATATGTGTCTGCATACATCGATGTTTGCGTGAGTACGTAATTTTCCCCACCACTTACACAATAACACCAATACACGCAATCTACATAAACCCAATTTTTTAAATCATTAATCAGTTTGTCTGACGATCGCTAAAACGTGAAACTCAGGGTCACAAACTCACATCTATCCAACTAAATATATATATATATACATATATATATATATATATATATATATATATATATATATATATATATATATATATATATATATATGTATATATATATATATATATATATATAAACTAGATGTTTGCATCCTCAAACTATCTATCCAACCAAATATGTTAGCTCTATCTCTGATATTGAGCGCTTTCTAATAAGTACCGCATATAATATATAAATAATTATACATACTTATATTTATTTATATTCATATACACTTTTCACACACACACACACACACACACACACACACACACACACACACACACACACATATATATATATATATATATATATATATATATATATATATATATATATATCAATGAATGACAAGTCAACGATATAACCATCGTATCTCCTTCCATTCCTATTGTATGTAACTATCTTAAAACACAACTTCCGCTAATATCATTTTTCATTTCGTTTTTCGGTTGATTCCTGGAAGAACTTTTGAATTCATTCATTGTTTTGAAACCGCAAAGTCTGACGAAGTGAAATCAATTTTTATCGCTCTCGCGAAATATAAAATATTACCATTGCTTTCTAAAGTCTCCGATTTGTTAAATAATTATTACTTGCTCTGTTTATTACATTCAGCTCTCGGATTTTATATCCTCCCAGGAATTAACCACCAATTAACTCTATCATATTATATATATATATATATATATATATATATATTACTCATCGATAGCATCTCATTTTCAATGGTCTGTTTTCAATCATCCCCTAATAACTGAGTTGTGCTATCGACGAGTAAAAAAATATATATTTCTTAATAATATAAATTATAGTTCTGTTATTATACATCGAGCACTCAATGTGCGATATTTTATATTCATATATTCCTATTTAATAAGATTTCTTATTCTTTATGGGACCCCATTGTGTGTGCATATATATCTATACACCGGGTGTAACAGCAAAATTGTCCAAATCGTGTAACAGCAAAATTGTTAGATTGAGCTTTGAACCGGTCTATCTTAAAAATGATTAAAGATATCTTACTGGAATTCTCCGAGGTTTTTTATAACACTATTGGACTCTACTTTGAGCAATAAGAATGTATAATTACTTTCCAAGCTTAACAGAAGAATGGTGATGAAATCGATTATAAACGAAAATGACATGTTCATCATTGATTAATCAGAGCTCAAGATCGGAAGCTCATGACGTATTGAAATAAAGTCCATATATATATATATATATATATATATATATATATATATATATATATATATTATTCCAGGATCATTTTCAAACTTATTTAAGATGATCTTTGCCCTCTCTAATCTTCTAACTTTCTGCTCTGGAGTAAAATGTACGATTTTATTTTCAAGTGTTTTTTTTCTCACTGTTCTTTAGACTGTCGTAGCTGAAACCCCTCTCTCATGTGTCAAACGTCTTATGGGCTGGATCATTTCTAATTGATCTCTTCAGCACTAAGTTGAAATAATTATCCCTCTTCCTGTGTGACCTCCTGATCCAGTTTCCTTTTCTACTGTTCCCTCTTTTTTTAAACTTATTCACGGTTCTCTTGATGATTCTTGAATGTATTTGAAGATGAAAGCCAGAGTATGAATGTTGGTACCATTACTGAAAGCTTGAATGAACTTTTTCCTCTCACCATTGCTCATTTGGGAAGACAGTGGGTCAGACACAAAACAGTTTTAACCTGTTCTCTTTCTAGGTGAATAACTCAAAGGGTTTTTCAGTGATCCTTACGACAAATGGTGTCAAAATGGCTGAACGTATTATCTGGAAACCTGAAAGAAAAAGAAACTCTATTAGTTTAGTGTTTTTTAGATATTAAACATTTTGTAGGAGGGATGTTATACGATTTGGGCAATTTTGCTGTTACAGCTGGTATGGTAGCGAATGCCGGACAATTTGCTCACAGATAAAGAAGAGTCTTGAATTCGTTTTACCCAGGGCCGGATTTAGATGAAGAGAGGCCCTGGGTTATTCCCCTTTTGAGGTACCCTCTGTTATACCGGAACATACCTATTCTATTGTTAATAGACTCTCCCACATATAATAAGTAGTAGTAGTAGCAGTCGCCAGGTAGCTCAGTGAGTTGGTGAGTCAGTCTATGTCTGACATAAAAGTATCAACCACCACAACTAGATTGCTGCGTCATTAACTATTATATTAAGTTCCTAACGTTTTGTACGTCGAACCTATTTAAGGACCGACTTAGTGAAATACAAGACTCCACTGTGAAACTACTCTACAACACCCTCCAAATCATCTACGAGTAGAGGAAAATGGTAATGTGTTAAATAAAACAATTTGAGTAAAGCCGTGGATGATGAAGTTCTTTAAAATTAATGAAGGGTTATTTATAGCTTACAATGCGTTATTACAGTAGAAAGGCCGATGAGAGTGTCAAAAATATTATACACCTTGCCGCCTGCTAAACCTGTACGTAAATCCGACACTGTTTGTACCACCGAATGTTAACAAAACGGACAGAATACGTGAGAGACGAAAAAGTCTTAAGTAAGATACGAATAAAAAAAAAAATATTACTTATATTCAGAAAGCAGATGTTGAAATAGTAAGGATATATAGCGAGGAAAGAGGGCCCGGAGAATTTAATACTCATAATGAAAGTGAGAGAAGAACCGAGGAAAATAGAGTAACTTACTGAAATGTTTTGTATGAATGAATGGCCGAAGAAGGACAAAATGGTTACGCTATTTGGATAGTTTTAGTGCCACACCCGCTACGTCCCAGAAATTTGAACGGTCTCGTTTTTATTTGACGTATTCTTCTCTCTATACTTTAAAGAGGCGGGCGATCACGGCACTCCACAACTTCTTGTCTTTTGTTGATCTAAGTAACTTTTGACTTTTTACCACGCTCATTTGTACTTGTTCTACCATCCATTTACACAAACAGGTAGGTTTCTATCTTCTCTTTCCTTCAAGTGTGTCTTGTTCGCGTTCAGTTCTCCAGGCATTCTTTCCTCATCATGTGTCACATATATTTTCAACTGGTTTTTTTTTTATTGTAATATTTTTCTTTTATCTACAGTGTCCCTCCAGGAAGGGTGCGATCACAGCTCTCCACAACTTCCTCTCTTTTATTGCTCATCAAATAGGCTACTCGTTTTCCCTTCCAACTTTTGCCTACGATACGTAATGTGAGTGTTAAATTTTCTAAGCCTTCTTTTTTCATTATGCATCCCAGAAATTTCAATTATTTCTATCTGTAAGTATCAGCTTCCTTGTAGTAACCGTCGCCCTTAAAACTTTCTCGCTGCTCTGCAAAACCACAAACAAGGGTCACCCGGTGAGATTCCAACTCCCAGGGTAGTAGTAATACTAGTTAGCTAATTATCTGCTACCTTTATGCAGAGACGGTCAGGTCATTCCCAAAATTTAACTGTATGGCACGAGTCCCAAATATGGGACAGAAAACCCCAAGAGCACCTCAAGGTAGATGTTTACTAAAAGCCAATGTTGTAAGTTCGTACAAGGGGTGCATATTATGAGAATGTGTAGAATAGATAATGGTTGACTCTAGACTTGAAGAGGGTAAGATCGAGGGAGCATTCTTTAGGGAGTTAACTCCATAACGTAACAGTACTGAGCAAGAAGCTGTCTGGGTGGCACTTCCTCCTTATTAATGGAATATGAACGGAATCAGGATAAGTTGAACTGGTGTACGTGGTACGGCAGGTTCTAGCCGTGAGGTCGGAACTAGTTTCGAGTAAGGAATGTAACTCGTCTGGAAATAGCGATAGAGTAGCAAGCGGCTGGCAGCTGGCGGCGTTTCGTCTATGGGAAAAGGGATTGTAGGGTGGGAAATCATTCATCACCAACAAAGCCGCGTCTTGCGTCTCAGGACCCCAGCTCAAGAGTTAAATCATCAGTGAAGGTTAAAATCCTTACTTTGGCTTTGAAGATAAGCTGATTAGAACTGCATTACGGTAGGCGCCCAATTTCTTGTACAAGTGTCTTGGTCAAGTTTTGTTTCCCACTTTCCTATTGATCTTATTTGCTTTTCGCTATTTCATTCTTTTCTTATCTACATCTGGTAAAAAAAATAAATGTTTCTTTTCCTTCACAGATTGCCAGACTGAGGAGTAATTGCAGAATTCGACGCTGAGTCGACTAATTATTGGCTTGCCATAATTAGGAGGAGAGAGTTGGGGAGTGGTAGGTGGGACATGAAGAGACAGAGTAGGAGGAAGAGTAGGAGGAGGTGGTCAGACATGACGCCATTGTTGTTGTAGACTAATTTGGATGATGGCACTTCGGTCTCCGACTGGCCATTTCAAATTCACACTCGCTCCAAACAGAAATGAAGAGAGATAACAACACTTTTTAATTTCAATTTAGCAGTTTTCCTTTTCCTTCCTTCCTTCCTTGTTTCCTTCCTTCCTTCCTTCCATGTTTCCTTCCTTCCTTCCTTGTTATTTCTTCGTTACTTCTTTCTTTTATGATTCGTTCTTTCCACTCATTCATTCTTTTGATATGTCCTTCTTTTATGATTCTTTTTTTCCCTTCTTTCTTTATTTCTTTTTTCTTCTTCTTTCTTTCCTGTTATTCATTCTTATAATTATTTCCTTCTTTTATGGTTTTTTTTCTTTCTTTCTTTCTTTACAGTTATTCATTCATTCTTTCTTTCTTTTGGGGGGATAGTTTATTTGTTTCTTTGTGGTTATTCTTTCAAGCTTTCGTTCTTTCCTTCTTTTGGGATAATTTCTTTTTTTTCTTTGTAGTCATTTATTCATTTTTTTTACTTTCTTCATTTTAATGATACTTCCTTTCTTTCTTTGTAGTTATTCATCCTTTCTTTCCTTTTTTAGGGAGGGATAACTTTTTATTTCTTTATTTGTACTTATTCATTGTTTCGTTCTTTTCTACGTTTGGGATAATTTCTTTCTTTCTTTCTTTCTTTCTTTCTTTCTTTCTTTCTTTCTTTCTTTGCAATTATCCATCCATTCTTTATTTCCTTCGTTTTAATGATTCTTTCTTTCATTCCTTATTTTTGCACACTTTCTTTCTTTGTAGTTATTAATTTTTCTTTCTTTCCTTGTTTTTTGTGGTACTTTCTTTCTTTTTAATTAACATTATTTATTTTTTCTTTCTTTTTTCTTTATATTCTTTTTCTGTAATTATCACTATTTCTTTCTTTCTTTCTTTTGTATTTTTTCTCTCGACCCTCTTTTGATATTCTTTCTTTCTTTCTTTCTTTTCTTCTCCGCCCTTCTTTTCTTTCTTTCTTTCTTTCTTTCTTTCTTTCTTTCTTTCTTTCTTTCTTTTGTATCTCTCTTCTCGGCCCTCTTTTGACCTTCTTTCTTTCTTTCTTTCTTTCTTTTCTTTTTTTCTTTTTTCTATCTCTTTCTCAGCCTCTCTTCTCTTTTGACCTTCTTTTCTTTCTTTCTTTCTTTCTTTTGCATTTTTCTTCTCGGCCCTATTTTGACATTCTTCCTTCCTTCCTTCCTTCCTTCCTTTTGTATTTTTCTTCTCGGCCCTCTTTTGATATTCTTTCTTTTTTTCTTTCTTTCTTTGTATTGAGATTTCATTCTTTAGTAGTAGTTACCTTTCCGTCTCTTTGTATTTATCCTTCATTTTTCATCATGTTTTGTATTTATGCTCTTTCTTTTCTTTTTATTGTTTTTGTTTTTATAATACTTTCCCCCGCTTAATTTCATTCTTTGTATTTGTCTCTCTTTTCGTTCGTTTCTTTCTTTAGCCTTCCTTTTGCTTTCCCTTGTCCGATCTTTATTCAATATTCATTGCCGATTTTATTATCTTAAAAAGGTCGCCATTTTCTCAGACGTTCACTTTCGTCAATTGATTACTTAGTGTGTAATTTAATTATTCGTAGATTTAAAAAAATAAATGGCTGCAAAAAGCAAAACAAGTCGGAAGAGGAAAGACAGCCGGAAGTAAAAGAAGAAGAAAAAAAAAGCAGAAGGAATGGGAGAAAGGAAAAAGAAGTAAATCAAAATATTACTAAAAATGAAGTATAGAAGAGAAAAGAAAGGAGAAAAGAAAGATACGAATAAAGGAAGGAAGGAAGGAAAAAAGGAAAGAAGAAAGAAAGAAAATAATGAAGAAAAGAAAAATGAAATAAGGAATAAAGGAAAGAAGGAAGTAAGGAAAGAAGGACGGAAGGCAGGAAGGATAGAAGAACGGAAGAAATGAGTGAAGGTTAGGAGGAAGGAAGGAAGGAAAAAAGGAAGGAAGTAAGGAAAAAGGAAGGAAGGGAAGCAGGTAGGAAGGAGGGATAGAAGGAAGGAAGGAATGAAGGAAGGAAAGCTGGAAGCAAGGAAAAAAGAAAGGAAGGAAGGAAGGGAGGAAGGAAGGAAGGCAGGAAGGAAGGAAGGAAGGAAGGAAGGAAGGAAGGAAGGAAGGATAAAGGAATGGAAGGAAGGAGAGAAGGATAGGAGGAAGGAAGAAAGGAAGGAAGTAAGGAAAAAGAAAGGAAGTAAGGAAAAAAGAAGGAAGGAAAGCATGTAGGAAAAAAGGATAGAAGGAAGGAAGGAGGGAAGGATGGATGGAAGGCAGGAAAGAAGTAAGGAAGGAAAACTGGAAGGAAGGGAGGAAGCAAAGAAGGAAGGAAGGAAGGAAGGCAGGAAGGAAAGAAGGAAGGAAGGCAGGGAGGAAGGAAGGATAGGAGAATGGAAAGAAGGAGAGAAGGATAAGAGGAAGGAAGTAAGGAAAAAAGGAAGGAAGTAAGGAAAAAAGGAAGGAAGTAAGAAAAAAGGAAGGAAGGAAAGCAGGTAGGAAGGACGGATAGAAAGAAGGAAGGAAGGAAGGAAGGAGGGAGGGATGGAAAGCAGGAAAGAAGTAAGGAAGGAAAACTGGAAGGAAGGAAAAAAGGATGGAAGGAAGGAAGGGAGGAAGGAAAGAAGGAAGGAAGGCAGGAAGGAAGGAAGGATAGAAGAATGAATGGAAGGAGAGAAGGATAGGAGGAAGGAAGTAAGGAAAAAAGGAAGGAAGTAAGGAAAAAGGAAGGAAGGAAAGCAGGTAGGAAGGACGAATAGAAGAAAGGAAGGAAGAAAAGCAATGAAGGAAGGAAATCTGGAAGGAAGGAAAAAAGGATGGAAGGAAGGGAGGAAGGAAAGAAGGAAGGCAGGAAGAAAATGCAGACAGGGAGGAAGGTAGGATAGACAAACGGAAGGAAGGAGAGAAGGATAGGAGGAATGAAGGAAAAAAAGAAGTAAGTTAAGAAAAAGGAAGGAAGGAAAGCAGGTTGGAAGGAAAGATAGAAGGAAGGAAGGATAGAAGAACTGAAGGAAGGAGAGAAGGATAGGAGGAAGGAAGGAAAGCCGGAAGGAAGGAAGGAAGGAAGGAAGGAAGGAAGGAAAGAAAGAAAAAGCTAAGTAAAAAATTGACAAATGAAAAGATTATAGAAAATGAAGTCGTAAAACATGAAAAAAATAAAAACAATCCAAAACAATAAAGAAAAATAAACAAAAAAAGAAAGAACAATTTAAAAATATTAATAAATGAAAAGAAAAGTAAATAGAAAATCAACTGAAATACAGAAAAATAAATAAAAGAAAAAAATCAGCAAAAAGAAAAACTAGGGAATATAAAAAAATAAACAAAAATAGGTAAATAAAAACACATAAAAGAAAAAACTCAATAAAAAAGAAAAAGAAACAATAAACAAATGAAAATAAAATTAACAAGTAAAAACAAAATAAATAAAAATTCAGCTGAAAAGAAACAAGAAATAAAATAAAACAATTATAAAAGAAAAAATAATTAAAATAAATAAATAAAAACAAAGAAAATAAATATAAAAAATAAAACAAAAATCAATAAAAAGAAAAATAGATAAAAATGTTTGTATGTTGATACTTTTTTTGCAGTTTATTTAAAGCCAGAAAATATTTTAGACTGTATTAATTTTTTGCGGTAATAATTCTTATACAAATCTACATAGCCTGGAGAAGAAGTTATGGATGAGAAGAAGGGTATTTGCACGTAAGTTTGTACGCACAGAGCCAAACTAAAATTGGAACTCAGCACTCCGATTAACAATTCCGAGCCATTATCCATAAGACCATCCGCACATTCAAGCTTAGAGCAGCTGGTATTCCCAAGAGGTCACCCATCTCGAGCCTGGTCAGTAACTACTGACCAGGCTCTACGTTGCTTAACTTCAGTGATCGACGGCGTCTCAGCCTGACGTGACCGTAAGACTAAAAATAAACAGAAAAAGAGAAAAGAAAAACGAATGAATAATAAAAAAAAACGAATAAAAAAGAAAGACCTGACATAGCCTAAAAATCTGTCTGGATTAAAAACATCGGAAAAATATAAAGACGGAAGAAGAAATTCTAAAAAAGAAATTTAAGAATACTTATTTTCCATGATTTTCTGGCTTATCAGATATTCTTTATTCTTGTCCCTTTTCAATGGGAATCAGAATAAAGCATAAATCAGAAGACACTGATGTCTTATTCATCATAAATGCTTCGTATCTCAGGCTTTTTACAAATCTCTAAAAAATAGGTGGAATTACCTTATGGTAGAATTATCTGAATGGGAAAATGAAATAAATAAAAATAAAAATAAAGATTCAATCAGAATACACTGATGTCTTATGCATCATATATGCTTCGTATCTCAGGCTTTGTACAAACAAAGCTCTAAAAATAGGTGAATTATCTTATGGTAGAATTATCTGAATGGGAAAATTAAATAAAACCAATAAAATAGAAATAAAGCATAAATCAGAAGAGACTGAGGTCTTATGCATCATAAACGTTTCGTATCTCAGGCTTTGTACTACAAAGCTCTAAAAATAGGTGGAATTATCTTATGGTAGAATTATCTTCATGAGAAAATGAAATAAAACCAATAAATTAAAAATAAAGATACAATCAATAGACTGATGTCTTATTCATCATAAACGTTTCGTATCTCAGGCTTTATACAACAAAGCTCTAAAAATAGGAGGAATTATCTGAATGGGAAAATGAATTAAAACCAATAAAATAAAAATAAAGCATAAGTCAGAATACATTGATGTCTTGTACATAAATGCTTCGTATCTTTATGTACATGAAAGCGCTAAAAATAGGTGGAATTATCTTATGGTAGATTTATTTGCATGTGAAAATCAAAGACAATAAATAAAATAAAGACAAAGTCTAAAAAATAGAAAAAAAAAGAAATTCATTTTCCCATAATGCAAGTGATATAAGTGAGGAGAGGGCTTTTTGGTCATGTACGCAATTTTATGGTACTACTTCCAGTTTCGAATGCCATCATTCGGACGTGACTTGCGGTCCTACTCATGGAGTAATTTGGTCGTTCCAACTCAGCGCAAAGCTGACTTGCGCTCGACCATTTTAACCATTTTTATTTTAACTTTCCTTTGAATCAGAAAATAAGACGGACACACCTGAGAGACATTTCGACCTTATTTTCACTGCAGTCATCATAAAAATAAATAAATCATCCGTAGTAGAAACACAAGCTTTTTTATGCTCCTTCTGCAGTTGGACATTCATTGTGTAATTCACTTCTAGCAGTTGACTAGTACTACGCGCCGCTGGCGAATCTTATATGTGTTGTTCTTGTTCTAAGAATTATCGTTCATTACCAACCTTCGTGTAATTATTCTAGCCAGCAACCTTCCCTATGTTACAACAATATTATACCAAGGACAACCTTCCTCATTTATCGTATGATCTTTTCGTGTTGTTTTCAGTGTTCTTCATTAAAACTACATCTTGTTTGCTTCAAGTTTTTCTTCAGTTGTGACAATATCGTCCAGATTGCCTGATTGTCGATTAGCTATCACGTAAAAGCCCAGAAATCAATGGTTCGTTTCCAATGTTATTTGTTCAGTTCTTCAATATCTTGCTCAGTCTTTGAAAAGTAACTTTCAATATTTCTATACCTCTTTGGATTCCAATGTCATAGTTCTGTCCTCTTTAACTGGCAGCTAGGTCACATCACTTTACCTTTTTAAACTGCTAGATTGAACCGTAATTTCTATTCTAATAGTTTCTCACATTTCCTGCCTTTAGAACTTCATTCAGGCTTCTT